ATGATGCCACCATGAAATAATTTTATCGGTAGTCAACTTTTTGACAATTGTATCTTTATACAACCTTCAAGATGTTTTGCCTCACCTTTCCTTATATACTTCAATTTTATGACCATATATATTACTCGGTGTCAAATCAAACCCATCAAAACTTTCATGATAACGGCCCACCAGAATGTCCCACGACTCATGGTCAACACAAAGAGGAATCCGTCTCACGAGTATCAATATACTTAGTAGGGATCACAGCTTTCGACATAGAATCATCCCACGACTCGTGGCCAATGATAAAACATCGTAGCATCTCATGTCATCTACTTTTGATGGAAGGCCTAGATTAATAAGTTCCAACTTATTTTTATCCATTATTGATTTGATATGGAATTAATCAAATTAATCTGTTTGGGTTCCTTGATCTCATCGATTACCATCTTTACGTTTATTTACCAATTTCAGTCATCTAATGAAACGAAAGCGTAAATAAACCAAACATACATCTAATGCATGGTGGGATGATCATGTCCTTGCCGATTCGATCCATTCGAGCCAAAATGGATCTATGCCTATGTACGTGATAAAACAAATAATAGAACTACTTCTATTACATTTATTCTATCTACCCGTACAAGCACAGGCCTTCGAGATTACAACTTGTAAAATTACCCACACATGCGTGGGCCTTTGTCATCGAACTGTCTCCACCTTGATCTAATCTCTAACGATACAAAATTTAAAATTTTTACAAATTTCATCTCAAGAGACTCGCAGGTCTCGATAAATTACATTTCTTCAATCATATTGAAAACATAATTAAACATCCATTCATTCATTCAATCATATTGAAAATGAAAACATCCATTCAAACATAATGAATATGAGGCTCATGATCATCCCTAAAACATTCATCTAATGAAATGAACATAAAATATCAATTTATGAGTCCCACGACTCGTGTGAGCAAGTCACACGACTCGTGTGAGGGTCACACGACCCGTGTGATCTTATCACACAACTCGTGTGAAAAATACGAATGGAAATCAAAATTCTTCCCAGACTCACACGACTCGTGTGGCTCGTCACACGACTCGTGTGAGCTCACACGATTCGTGTGACAAGGTCACACGACTCGTGTGAAAATCACGAAGCTAAAATCAAAATTTTTCTTCATGCCACACGACTCGTGTGGCTTAAAAACGATTTTTTTTTTTTAATTTTATAATTAATATTTTATCATATAAAAAATTAATTATATTGCTTATCTCATAAGTCTTAACAAATCAAAATCTGTTTTAAAGACGATAACCGTGGCTCTGATACCACTGTTGGGTTCGATAGTACCGTACGGGCTGTACGCAGCGGAATTTAAAATTTTTAAAGTAAGTATTTATCGTATAAATACAACACCCGTACATACTAATTGCGAATTAACTGATCGTCATCTTTAAAACATGCATCATATACAAATTTTGATTTGTTACTATAAAGTAAATACTAGTAAAAATATTTACCGAATGTCTTGAACTCCTTCACTATTGATGATGGATGAGGGAATCGGTTCCCGGTTGTAACTTCAACGACTTGAGGTTACTCGCTAGAGGAATCCAAGTGTCTTCCCTCTAAACGTATCCACCCTATGAAGCCCGGTTCCGACGACTTTCCTTCGCTAGTAGAAAAGACTCGGTTTTCTTGTATAGGAATATTTATGAATTTTATTTGGGAATTTTAAGAACTCTTTCTTGAAGTTTTATGAAGAACACTTTCTTCTCTTTCTAACACTTAGAAATTTAGGATCAAAAACTTCACTTAAATGCAAAACCATTTTGCATATATTTATACTAAACATTTTAGCATAAAATAATCAACATTTAGTAATATTAAATAAAATCAAATTTTATTTAAATAGTATTTACTAACTTTTGACTTTGAAAATAATAAGATATGTTAAGTAGTTCAAACAACCATCAACAACCATTTTATTATAATCATATTTATTATTTTAATCCTTAAATCATATTTAAAGATATAAATAATAATTGGATAATAAATCTTGAGAATCTTTCTCAAGACTTTATTATTATATCATTTTCCCAATATTATAATAATCATATTATTATTATTTTGGATTTTTGAAATTTAAAATCCTATTTTAAAATTCAACTTTATTAATTTAGTAATTACCTTAATTACTAAAGTAATATCCAAAATGTAATTAATCAATCTTATTGATTAATATATTCCTTTAATTGATATCTAATCAAATTAGATATTTATCAATTAATTCTAACCATTAGAAATACAATCTTTACCTTTGTTCATAATTAGTGTGACCTTTTAGGTTCACCTTAATACTAGTAGTGGGTTTACAACACTTTGTAATTTGAGTTAAATCTTATTAACTCTTATTCATGAATTAACCCTTTAATTTATGAACCCACATATCATGGTAACACCTAGCAAGTAGCATGAATCTAGTATTAAGTGAATAGCGAGTAAACCTATTCCGATTACAACTCCATACATGTAAAATCCTTTCGACATCTAATTTCCCGATTAAGTCTTGGGTATGATTTTGTCGAAACCCAAATTGACTTAATAACTATGATTCTATTTCATGTTTATTAACCCGGTTATGAATCACTATTCATCTCTGCCTTGGCCAAGGACTTTGGATTAATAACTATGAAACACATAGGAAATTCACTTATCTTCATAAGTGTCGAATCCTTTATTGGCCACTAACAAACTTCCATACATATTAACATAATACCCAACTTATCCCTTTAAACGATAGTGCTAGCTACCAAAAGGATAAATCAAAGTAGAATGTAATATGCACAAAGTTACCATTGTGCCTCAAGTCTTAGGATTAGTCATGTACTATTGTAACATGAAAATTCTTATTCGACTGAATAAATTCTTCATTAAGAATTTTCATACGGTCATGTTCAGTGAACTTGTTCTCTAACAAGCACCCACATAAATGTACTTACGTCTTACGCTAATGTTGATGGAATGCAACATTCTTGTCCAACAAGCATACAAACTATGTGCAAGTCTTTTATGGATTATTCGATATCCCATCTCGAAACATCCATCGACTTGGAACTGTATTTAAGATCACGGCTTTCAAGGTATGTTCCATGATCACCATCTCTATGCGCAACCATACCTTATAACCATAAGTGATCTAGGGATTTTATCTTAAGTGCAATTATAAGATAAATGCTTTCTCTTAAGATAAAGAAATGCCTTATTCATAATATAATTCCAATAGACTGTATTTACAAGTAGAATACGTCCAATTAGATTGGAACGCCGGGTACCCTACTCTAACAGATATGACTTGATTTTTAATAATTAATTTCCATGTGGCGCCATTTGATTGACCACAAATTTTATGTATATACAAGCCCATACCAGCATTAAATGCTCAGCAGGCAATGATTGGATAAATCGTAAATCCCGTCCAATCTGTCAGACAGACGCCGGCCTCTCCCTCAGAGCTATTGTACGACGAGACATCATGAACAATGGAGGAACAATGCCGTATTAATGACCACTGTAAATAGAAGATCCTCTCATTTAGTTTAAGGTTGTTGAATCTCAACTAACTGCTTTCTCTCTACTCTTTCTCTCTCTAGAATCTGTAATAATTTCCCGTAAGAATTCCAAGTATAACAAAAGTGCCGACCTCGTTCACAGAGGCCGACCTCGCAATTACGTAATAGATTTCCCTTTTCGCATTATTTCTTTGTTATTTCACCTTTTTACTCTCGAAATATTTTATTTTAACCGTTGATCGGATCTGTCTATCAACACCATATACTACTCTTACCTTTTTTCTTTAATTCATATATTAATTATTATAAATATGTTTTTTTAAAGCTTTATAAACTTCTTATTTGTATTTTATTTCTTATATATGATTTTTATCTTCAATTTGACATTCATATTGCATATAAGATAAAAATAATTTCATCTATATTTATAAATAAAATCAATCTTATTATCAACTCAATTTAAAAACATCTTATAACAAAATAAATTATTTTATAAAAATCATATAAATCTAATCATTAATACAACATAAAATAATAATTTTATTATTATTTTTTCCATAAATTTTAGATAAAATTACATAAAATAAATTTTAAGAAATATTATAGAATATTACTACTCAATTTAAATAGATTATATAACAAATAAATGTTATTATGTTATTTAAAATAGTGAATATAAAAGAATATCATAATTAAATATAATAAAATAATGTTGTACATAAATTTAGAAAATAATACATTTTTTATGTAAATTATAAATTATTAAATATATGAATTTAATATACTTGAAAAATTAATAAACGTGAGACACTGACTCTATAAATATAACTATAATCACAATACAATAAAATTTATTTTGTTTAAAAAAATAACGAATCAAATATATGAAGTTGTATATAATGTCAATTTTATGCATATATAATTTTAAAAATATAATGATTTTTCTTTTTGAAAAATTTAGAGTAAAAATACGAGTACCATTTGAATTAATTATCACTTTTTTAGTAATTTATTATTGTTGCATAATCATCATGAATAATTTCAAAATAAAAATGTAATTCTTATAATTTTTAATGTAAAAATATTAATATATTTAAGTACCCGTGGACCGTGTAATACACGAGCATTGTACTAGTTATATATATTTATAAGAGTGGACGAGAGGAGAAGAGAATAATAAAATAATTTTTATAATCAAGTAATTTTATAATTAATTTTATTTGAAACGAAAAGATTTAGGTGATTTTACGTTTAGATATCATCAACTCCAATTAAGGCATAAAAATTAACCAAATTGATATATTTATTCAATACCCTCATTAAACTAGTTTACTTACCCTACCAACCNGAAATGAAATTTCCTTTTTTAAATAATCACAATCAATCTAGAATAAATTATGAGTACAGTATTTTATCAGAAATAAAATTGAAATAAATTATAGGTACCATGTGACCATTCATCTTAGGATAGAGGGCAAGTTAGTGATTTGCTACAATCAAGGCAGTTCCTCTTCTAAAAAAGGTATCATCGAACATCATTCCTCTGCATCAGCTGATTAAGAAAAAAAGGTATTGCAGTGTTCCATCCAATCATGATCAATAATCCTCTCTTAATTATTTAATAACGACAAACAAATTCACAATCATCTCATTAAAATCTCTCTCCCCACAACCAACAAATTTGCAGCTACAAAAGGGCCCCACAGATTCTTCACATTATTAACTATTAACTATTATTATTATTATTTTGGGATCATTTTCACTCTTTTCCTGTTGTTTTCTCATTTTTTTTCGAGCTGTTGTTGTTTGTTCTACACAAAATGAAGAGGGTTTGCAGGGACTCTGGTAAAAGAGGCGCAAAAGGGGAGCACTGTTCTTGGGATTTATTTGCCACTAATTGTTGAAGATTTGATAGATCAGGAACATGGGGTATTATATCTTGGAGCTCTGATTTGTTTATTTTGCTTCGTGTATTTGTTGTTCTGGGTTGTCATGAAGATCTGTTTTTTTTTTTTTTGTTGGTTTGTTTGTTTTCTAGCTGAGCTGTGTTTTGTTTAATCTAGAACTTACAAGATTTACTTTATGTTGCACCAGTTAAGCTGAATTATGTGTTATGGAGAATTTTGAATATGTGTAGACATAAAAGTTTGTATTTTGGAGAATTTATTACAATATATTGCATAGTTAAGAATATAGAGTGGTGGGTTTAGTCATCTTAGGTTCACAGAGATCATGAAAATTTTATTCTTTATTCTCTCGTGTTCTTGAAATGAGTTCGTTTGTCATCTTGGTAGCTGAAGCGTGTTTGCTGGGCTTTCATAGAATATATGCCCGACTTTGAGTCCAAATCTTTCAATTTCTTGAAATGAGTTTGTTTGGTATGAAAAAATTTTGATTTGTGCAAGTTTTTCCTTTATTTGGGTGTGACAGCAATAGTTCCTGCTCTAACCAAGATTGTAACTAGCACATGATAAATTTTTTGGAGGCTTGAAACTGAAATTTTGGCTTATAAATGTCCCTTACTGCGATTGAGCAGATATTTGCTCTTTAATTCATCGTTTTTGTTCCTTGTACGTTTCTGGGGACCTTGTTTTTGCTAAAGATTTAGGACTCAAAGATTTTGGTAGTTTTTAGTATATTTAATGTTGCCAGGACATAAAAATTACTATCAGGCTCCAATGGTATTACTTGAGTAATGAAAAATCACTTTTAAACAACAGTTTATCGAAAAGCTTGCTTGATGTTCCAGTGCTGTATGTGTAAAGTTGGTCGACTCTTTAGGATGAGGAGATATTCTTTAAGTAATTTGTTTACGAAGTAGAGTAAATTTGTGCCAACATGTCAGAATATCTGTGGAGCGATCAATTTTAGTTTTCTTATATTTTGTACTTGAAACCAAAGGAATGCCTAATGCAACTTGCACATTGAAGTTCTAATTTCGTCTTTTCCTATTTCGTTCGAACAGGTCAATGGAACACAATTAAAATGCCTTATAAACAACACATCTCGATTAAATTCTAATTTTGTCTTTCCCTATTTCATACGAACAGGTCAATGGACTTAACACCATTAAAATGCCTTATAAACAGCATATCTCGGTTCATTCATCTGGTAACATGTCGTTTGTCAGCTACGATGCCAGCTGAGAACGATTACATAAATGTAATTTCCATGTTGAAGCATTTGAAACCACTGCTAGATGACGTTGTTGATCACAACACTCCTCCCGATGAAGCTTTTTCCAAAGAATGCGAAGAGCTGGATTTAGCTGTAAATGAGGCTCGAGAATTTCTTGAGAAATGGTCTCCAAGAATGAGCAAGATACTTTGTGTGAGTAAATTCTTTTTTCACCACGGCCTTTTTTTCCCACATTAAGATGCTTAAAAATGAGCTGAAAACATTTTAAAGGTTCTAATATTTTCGTTTGTCTTCCTGAAATTTGTTTTATCTTCACTCTGTTTTTGTATAAATTTTTAGGTACTGCAAAGTAAGCCGTTGGTCCTGAAAATCCAGATTTGTTCAGTTAAACTATCTCGCGCTCTATGCAGACATTTTGAGTCGTCGCAAAAGACATCAAGTCTATCCAATGCTCGCGTAAGAATACCGTTATAACAGAATATCTTTCGTTATGTATCTATTTATCTTCTTCCTGAAGCTAATTATGTACAATAGCCAGTTTTGTTTTTCTAGTATTTATGGTTTCGTTTCATTCGGTTATAATATATGTCATAATAGCATGCGAATAATCTAATATAGTATATCTTTTCGTCCAGTTGTGTGCGCAAGAATGTCAAAAACTTAAGCTCGGCCAGCCACAACTCGTCGAAAACGCCCTTGAATGCGAAAAAGACGAAAAAACCCCTGACGGCGAGCACCTCATGCAGATCATGCAAATCCTGAACCTGAGATCGAGCGAGGAACTTCTGAACGAGTACATTGCGCTAGAAAAGGAGAGTAAAAAAGCCCACGAAACCGAAACGAAACAAGATTTGGACCGAATATCTCAAACCCTAACCCTTATGTCACACCTCCGTCATCACGCAGTCAAGCTCGACATATTCAAAGGCCCGAACGGAATTTCCGTGCCCTCATACTTCCGCTGCCCGTTGTCCCTACAACTGATGTCAGATCCTGTGATCATTGCTTCGGGTCAGACTTACGAACGGGCTTCCGTTCAGAAATGGTTGGACCATGGGCTCGAGACTTGCCCTCAAACGGGCCACAGGCTCTCCCACCGGAATCTCACCCCTAACTACACCGTCAAAGCCCTCATAGCCAACTGGCGCAATGAAAACGACGTACGAAAAATCCCCCAAAATGAGACTGAGAAATTATGCTACCAATCTTCTCCCGAGCACTCGTACGTTCACAGCCGAAGCGAGTCGGCATCTAGCGCTGTTTCCAGCATCGACTACACCCCGACAGCCGAGATCGAGAGTTCAAGGTTGCCGAGCAAAAATCCGGATAGTGCAGGCGATACAAAATCTCCTTCCGAGTTGACACACGACGAGCTGACCACTGCCTCGCACGTCGAGAAGCTCGTCGAGGGCCTCACGAGCCCTTCGACCGACAAGCAAGCCGCGTGCGCCCGAGAGCTCCGTCTCCTCGCGAGGCACAACCGGGAGAATCGAGCCATCATCGACGAAAACCGGGCCATCGGCCCGCTCATCTCCCTCCTCCGATCCGAAGCCCGGGAAGTGCAGGAGCACGCCGTCACGGCCCTCCTCAACCTCTCGATCAACGACAACATCAAAGCCCGGATCGCTTGCCAAGGTGCTCTCGACCCGCTCATCCACGTGCTCTCGACCGGAAACTCGATCGCCCGAGAAAATGCCGCGGCGACCCTTTTCAGCATCTCGCTTATCGAAGAGTACCGAGTGAAGATCGGGCGGTCGGGGGCCGTTCGGGCGCTGGTGGAGCTTTTGGGGAATGGGAGCGTCCGGGGGAAGAAGGACGCGGCGACAGCGCTCTTCAACCTTTCGATATGCCACGAGAACAAGGCGAGGATCGTGGCGGCGGGGGCGGTGCGGCACCTGGCCGGGATGGTGGGG